AAGGAAATACGGCAATAACCCTCTTTGTTCACGCGGCGTACACGCTGCTAGGCTATAATGAGTCTTCTTAAATGTATCCCAGTGATCCTCTATACATTTCAAACGAGATTGTAGATAACCTTCTGTCAATCTAGCCTTCGGACATTTTTTCAAGTTTGTTTGAGTTTTCTTTAAAGTAGTAGCAATATCTTCCAAAATATTTAAATATTTCACTTGTTCTGGAGTTTCATTAGTCATTTTTTAAATATTTGTTTACTAATTTTATCTTCTTTCTTCAAACAGCACTATATTCTTTACAGATCTTCTATAAGTTATACGCGTAATATAAAATATAAATCGTTTCTTAATGTGCATAAATGATGCAAACTCGTTTCTTATCTAAGTCCTTTTGTTCTTCAATGCGACGGCGATCTATTCAATACAATAATGAATCCGACTCGATTGGACCATATGTTTATTGCGTTAAGGTGTATTATTGCTTGAATAGACTTAGCGATGCGAGTGAAAGGAAACAAGCGTGTGTATCGTACTGCGTTTAATTTGCAACTAACTAACTCATAAAATATGTTTACAATATGTAGATATAAGAGCGTAATTCTAATACATTACTTAAACACAGACACTTCAATTTTATTTATCTGTATTGATGATTTTAGTTTTAGAGTTTATTTTGTGGTAAAAATGTAAAGGTTAATTTTATAAAATTAGCATTTTAATTTATCTATAATGATAACGAAGTCCTGAAAGTCATATATTTATAATACATAAATGTATGTATTTAAAGTTATATATGTATAGTGTATAAACTATCTGGTATCCATAACACAGGCCTCGTAGCTTACCATGGAACTAGATGGTGCTGTGTGTTAATGTCCCAACATATTATTTATTTATAATAGCGAAGTCCCGAAAGGTTATATGTAGATTACAGTCCACAATCCTTATCGGCTAATATGCCTCAAGAGTAAGTTCGTTTTGAGTAATAATTTTTATAGTTTTTGAATATAATTTTTATATTTCAGGAAAAACAAAAGCTTAAGAAAATGGATAAAAAGAATAATAAGAAAATGGGAGTGAATGAGATGATTGCAAAGTTTGCAAGATTTTCAGTGTATGTAAATGTCCCATGAATATTACAAATTGTTGATTTCTCTCTTTGTTAATTAGATTTTAGAAGATCTTTTTTTCTGTTATGCAAATTTAACCAAATATTATGACTGATTATTTAAATGAACATGATTTAAATCCATATATTGTTTTATTTAAAACATTGTTTGTTTGCTAGGCTTTCTGTATAGAAAATAAATATTAAAACTTAAAAAGTCCTGAACTAAAATTTTTACATAATACTAGCGACTCACCCTCGGTCCATTCGGGTTCGTCCCTAGTTACGCTTTAACGTTTAGTATAGATTTCTCAGAGATGAGACATTTTCCGGTCTAATCCTCCAGAATTATACTGCAAATATACGCAATCAGTTCCTCACTGTCGCGTGCCAGATGTTATTATTATGCATTCTTTGGAAACCTCCAAGTAATTATAACTACATATTTACTTATTATCTATTGTAGATATGTACGACAAAAAAATTATTGAAATTTGTATATATTTTTTTTATTTTTAGAATATTGCAGCAGAATGATATTTACAAAAGTGCATCTATCGAGAATGTGTTGCAAGAAAGCAGTGTTACGATATCCATGTTTCAACTTGTTTGAAAGGTCAGACGAATCAATCGACCCCTTGGCACTTGTCATTTAAGTCATGGGTAGTAAAGGCTAGATAAAATACCAAAGGGAGTATTCTAGGGTTGTTTTAAAGCACACCCCCCCCCCCCCCAACGTGCGTTCATCTTGTCGTGGTGGGGAGGTTCAGTAGTGCCCGGCAATACAGCCGGGCGCGAAGCCAAGAAACGCACAGGGAGGTGGCCCACTTCGGTAGGCGGTGGGAGATGGCCCTCCTCGGAGGGCGGTGTACCATGCGGGTTGCTCCTGTTACTTCTCTGATAGCAAAGTGGACCTTGGAGTAACCCCGTGTTTGTGGTGGTCTGCTTCGGCAGACCTGCCGTCGGGGCGTCGTAGTTGAATGCGTAAGCGATCCTGCGACGCCCCATTAAGACGGGGGAAGGCTTTGTTGGGTTTTAGTGGGTAGTACTGGCTTTGCCGGTGAGTCCCATACCTCGTGCGTAAATGCATTTCCCAACGTTAAAAAAAAGGGTTGTTTTAAAGCAAAATGAACAATGAAATGTACTTAGATTCACAGATTTCGATCGTTACTGTATTGGAATGTGGTCGTATCAAAGATTTTTTAAATTGCCTAATCTAAGCTTTATACTATAAAATTGAAAGTTTGTATGCTTGAAAGCGTCGATTTTAAGTACTGATAGTAAATTTTAGGATTATTTTATATAAAACTATATTAAATATTGTCAAAAAGTAATATATTTTTCAACCGACTTCCTCAAAAACGAGGAGGTTCTCAATCAAATAATTTTGAAGTCGGTGCCAGCCGATACAAAGCAAAGCACACCGACTTCGAAAATATTTGATTAGGTATGTATAATAAATGAAAACTACCAATCAGTTATTTTTTACTTTTTAGTGCTTTTGTTTGAATTCGATTTTTATTTTTTTGTGAAAAAGTTTTTATTTATTTATACTATTAATATAATTAAAATCTCAGTCTGTGATTTTAATACAGTTCTATTCGACTCAATTTTTTTTAAATGCACTATAGAAAAACCACAAATAAGCTTTTTTTTTATTTTTCATTTTTTCTTGAGCACTATAATATGGGGGTCTTTATAAGTATTGATTTCTGGCCTCGTGAAGGCCGGCAACACATCCGCAACTACCCTTATGTTGCCGATGCTATGATATATGATATGAGCTTTTTGCTATAAAAAATATGTCATAATACACGCCCTAATTTCCATTTTTCATCAGTGAAGCTTATACCAGGATGTAAGATTTTGTAAAGCTTTTAAACTGAAATCTATACATATAATAAAATTGTAACTAAGCCGAATCTGTACATTAACTATTTTTTTGGAAAATCTTATTGAAATAGACATTTTTATCGGTACAAAGGCCGAATCTATAGTTGTTAGAATTTTTGTCTGTCTGTCTGTTACTGCATCACAGAAAAACCACTGGAGGGATTCTGATGAAATTTTGTATGGTGATAGCTGGTTATTCGGGTCAACATATAGGATACTTTTTCAAATATCTAATCTCTATTTTTTTTAAATATCTAATTTCTGAGAAAAAATACAAAAACTGCATTGTAAGAGTATACTAATATGTAAAACCTAAGAATTTGCTTTTTGGTATATATAATAATAAGCGATAACAAAAACCCATTCACAATATAAGTAAAAACATCCATAGTTATAAAGATAATTTAAAAAATACAGCACGTTCAAAAAGACAGAAATGTGCATTCAATTTAGACAAACCGATCCATTTTTTGTGTAAAATCTTTTTACAATTCTTAAATAAACGGTATTCGATGAAATTAACTATTTTACGTGTAAAGTACTTCCTATTTATTTTAACCTACTTTGCTAACAGTTTTGCATTTACAATTCATTTAAAGGACCAAATTCTATTATTAAAGATAGTCATTTACACCCACTTCGTTCGTTTTTACTATTTACTAGAGACTCACCCTCGCTTCGCTCGGGTTCGTCCTTAGGTTGTTTCCTCTTTATACTTTCATCCCCATTTAAGGGGTTAAAGGATTATTTTCGAGATTAAAACTATTCTAAGTCCTTCCTAGGATCTCAAACTATCTTCTTACCAAATTTCATCTAAATCGGTCAAGTAGTTTCGGAGTTTATCGGTACAAGAAATCTTTCCTCTTTATAATATTAGTATAGATAGTAGCACTAATTATATTACTTACTATATAAAGTTTAATTTCATTTCATAATTTAAAAACTATTAGACGAGTACCTTCACAATGCTTTCATTTTAATAAATTATAAAAAATATTTTTCTTATTAGTATTGTGACATCATTGTTTTTTTGATATATTATGTACATATTTTTGTTTAAAAGAAGACGTCCAAGCTTCGATTCAACAAGTCAACACAAGTTTACGTCAACAAGTGTTCCACGGTTGGCTCAGAGAAGACTTAATAAAAATACAGCATGTTCAAAAAGACAGATATGTGCACCATTGGAAATATATTCAAACTACTGTTCGTCCAGTGATCGAAATTCGGCCATAATTAATATTAAAATTTGATAAAAACATATGAACTATCTATATAAAATTGCTTAAATTTTTTTTAATAATACTAAAGCTCGTCAATAGCTAAAAAACAAACAGTAAATGAAAAGCGGTTAACAGAGAAGAAAAATGTATGAACTGTTTTGTCTTTACCTATTTATACATAAATCAGCATTGCCCGCGGCTCCGCCCGCGTTCAGATAACCAAAACCAAATTTGTAGGTTTTACTTATTAGTATACTCTTACATTGCAGTTTTTGTGTTTTTTTTCAGAAATGAGATATTTTCCCAGAGTAAAAAGTATCCTATATGTTGACCCGGATAACCAGCTATTACCATATATAATACCTCCAGTGGTTTTTCTGTGATGCGGTAACAGACAGACAGACAGACTTCTAAAAACTGTAGATTCCGCCTCTGTATCGATAATAATGTTTATTTCAATAAGATTTTCCAAAAAATATTTAATGTACATATTCGGCTTAGTTACAATTTTATTATATGTATAAATTGTCTAGTGCAAATCCGATAAAGATTAGCATAACTAAATTAGTATTATAGGCTTGTATATGTTTGTCTAAGGTACTTTTAGAATCGCTATAATATAAACGCGGTTTTATTTAGAAAGGACGCAAAGTGAACGTTCTACAACAAGTAATAAAATTTATTACATATATAAGTAATGGTTCTTACCAAAATCCACTTAACGCGAAGAGCAAAATTAATACATAATTAAGTGTTCCGCTCAGAAAGTGATGCAAAAAATGTATGATATGACGTTTATTTTGTTTTTAGGATCACAGGTTTGATTCCTGCATATGACAAAGTCTCTAACTTTGGTGGCGAAAAGGCTATTTATTTTTGATTGATTCAAGACTCTGTCGATTTTACTATGTTAATTAAAATTGTTTAGTTAATAATTTCAGATATAATGTTATTTAAACCATATAAAACATTCAAATGAGTCATTATGTGTCAAATAATAGTTATATCAATATAATCATACACATATATCAATAATTACAACTTTTAATATATATATATATATAGTCATTTTATCTGCCTTTAGTGCATACAATCTTAATGATCGAACAAAATAAACAGTTAAAGGTAATCGATTAGAGTAAAATAATAACAATTAAGAGGTCTTATTTGCAATTTTAAATATTTGCATGTGAAAAAAAGTTGCATAATACAATTAAATGCATTGCAAATGATGACAGCACTTGTAACAACGGTGCCAATCTTATCCCATTGGAAATACTTGAAGTAATGAAATATATATATATATATATATATATATATATACACCTATATCTATGTTTAAAATTAATCAATTTACCTATAAGAAGGTTGGATAAACTAACACACTTTCATTATAATACATACTAGAAGCTCACCCTCGCTTCGGTCGGGTTCGTCTCAAGACAATCAAAAGAAGATCTATCTCACGAGAACCGTAGATTTTTCCGGAACAAAAAGTAGTCTATTTCTTATTCTGATGTATGAACTATATTATTGTAACGTTTCATTAAAATCTAACTAGTAGTTTTTGTGTACTAATCTGTATAAGTTACTATAGTTTTTTATCTATCCTACGGGAACTCTTTAATTTTCCGGGATGAAAAGTATAAAAAAATAAATATAAGAAACAGACAAACAGTCAGAGAAACAAAAAAATTGAAAAAAAAAACTGGATTTGTTCTATTTCTCTTCTTACATACCCCTGACTCGGTTTTTAGCATTTTATTCTAGTATGTACAAACATTCGAACTCAACAGTTTTATTATATGTATAGTTTATTGAAGACTCGACCCGCCCGCCATATGACGCTTGTATTGGTGTTAGGTTCATTAAATAAAAAAAACTTACTATTTTACTAGTCTAATAAAACGTATTATATTATTATTTGTAGTAATATAATATATCACACAATATTATTAGATATAACTATTATTTGACACATAATGACTCATTTGAACGTTTTTTATCGTTTAAATAACATTATATCTGAAAGTCTTAATCAAATAATGTTAAATTCACAGATAAAATGACTCGTTAGTTTATTGGTAAATTATTGAAATTATCAATAAAGTTCAAGTTATTCAAATAACATATACATACGAATTACATATACGTATATTAATCATTACAACTTTTATAATATATGATTATATTCATTTAAATTAAAAAAATATATATCCTTATATATTTTGTAATTTTATCTGCCTTTAGTGCATACAATCTTAATGATCGAACAAAATAAACAGTTAAAGGTAATCGATTAGAGTAAAATGATAACAATTAAGAGTACTTATTTGCAATTTTAAATATTTGCATGTGCAAAAAGTTGCATAATACAATTAAATGCATTGCAAATGATAGCAACAGTCACCGTTTCAGGAGCGACTGTTGACTAAACCGGTTCGAATCTTAGTATGGCAATTATGGCCAATATGGAGCATTTTGGTTTACGTCCAACGATACCCCTCGAAAGCGAAAGTGTATCGTAGTCCTACAGCGCGGTTTTTTCTTCGCTCGGCCGCTCAATCCGCATATATATAGCGTGGTAGAACCAAACACGCATCATTCGCATTCAGGACCTCACAGCCTTCAGTGCAACCAACTAAAGCAGCATCATGAAGCTCATGGTGTGTTTCAATTTTGTGATTGTGCAAGTGTTGTGACAGTGCAAATCTGGATTCGAACCCTTGGCCTAATTATGATTACTCAATACGGAAATTACGTTGTGTTCAACTAACGCCCATTGAATAAGCCTTGAGCTTTTACAAGACCACTTTCTTGAATTTAATAATAAAGCTTTAGAAATTACCTAACCAAAAGTGATAGATATACAATCTAATTTATTAGCAAGCAATCTTTCATTATGTTGAACAATACGCCCTGTGCTAAGATTTAACTATAATATAAACCGTGTAGCTTAATTTTAATTATTTTTTTCAGCTCGTGGCCGCCAGTCTGGTGGCTGTCCTGGCTATCGCTCACGCGGAAGAAGCCAAGGCAGCAGAAAAAGAAGTGGCAGTAACCGATGACAAGGCGGTAACCGAGGACAAGAAACACGAAAAACGTGGACTCCTCGATCTTGGCTACGGCGGACACGGGGGCGGTTTCGGAGGTGGTTACAGTAGCGGTGGTTACGGCGGTGGTTACGGTGGTGGTTATGGCGGTGGATACGGTGGACACGAAGAAGTACACAAAACTATTACTGTCGTCAAAAATGTCGCAGTTCCCTATCCAGTAGAGAAGCACATCCCCTACCCAGTTGAGAAACACGTACCTTATCCCGTTAAAGTGCCAGTTCCTCAACCTTACCCTGTAGTTAAGCACGTCCCATATCCCGTAAAGGAGCTCGTCAAAGTACCCGTTCATGTTCCTCAACCTTACCCCGTTGAGAAAAAGGTTCCCTACCCTGTACATGTTCCAGTCGACAGGCCAGTGCCAGTCAAAGTATACGTACCTGCTCCCTACCCCGTAGAGAAGAAGATCCCTTACCCAGTCAAGGTCCCAGTGCCTGCACCTTACCCAGTTGAAAAGAAGGTCCCTTACCCAGTGAAGGTCCCAGTCCATGTACCTGCTCCTTACCCTGTAGTTAAGGAAGTGCATGTCCCCGTTAAGGTCCCAGTCGACAGACCCTACCCCGTGCACATTGCCAAACCCGTGCCCTACCCAGTAGAGAAACCAGTACCTTACCCAGTAGAAAAACCCGTGCCCTACCCCGTCAAGGTCCATGTTGACCGCCCTGTGCCCGTACATGTTGAGAAGCCCGTGCCCTACCCAGTAAAGGTGCACGTACCAGCACCCTACCCCGTCGAAAAGCACATTCCCTACCCAGTAGAGAAACCCGTACCGTTCCCCGTTAAAGTGCCAGTAGACAGGCCTTACCCCGTCCACATTGAAAAACACGTGCCAGTGCATGTAGAGAAGCCCGTGCCCTACCCCGTTAAGGTGCCAGTCCCGGTTATCGTCGGTCACGGTCACGAGTATGGACATCATGGTAGCTACTAATGGCTGCAGGAAGCAGACGCTGTATTGTGATATATAAATCTAAGATTAGCACAAAATAACGAACGAGGGCCTCGAAACGCTTATCAAAGCGAATAGTGGTAACGAACCAGATCTCTGGATAAATTGCTTCGAGACCCGCGATCGTTTTGCAATAATATAACTCTTTTTTATTTTTTTTTATTTGTTACATATTTTTTTTATTTTGTGAATCGGTAAATGTTGCGTTTTAATTTTGAGTTGATGTACCTGTTATGATAGAACGAAATGTGTAGAAAAATTAATATTGTAAGAAATAAATGCATGGCATTGCCAGAAGTAAAAGAAAAATTTCATTTTGCCACCCATTGTTTAGGGTATATTGAGTTTTAGAGATCATTACGAAATCCAACATAATATGGCCTAGATTAGTATCGCATCGCAAGCCACTTGAATCGCCGCTACTTTGCAATGTCGAAACCATTGACAATAAACGTGTACACCGTTGTTTTGCGTAAGTATAGCTAATAACAAAATTACAAAGTCTTTAGCCATATTTGACTTTACATACAGATCATATAATACTATATTAGTACATTTCAGAAAATAACGACTTCGATTCACTATAATTAATAGAGATGCTAACAGAATTTTTAGTATTACTTTACTATGAATAAGTTGTGTTAAGTTTATTAAATTAATAATAACATAATATACTTAAAATCTCATAAATTTAATGTTTATGTATATATATATATATATATATATATATATATATAACGTTTTATCATAGACTGTCTGTTTCGTTATCGTCCTCAAGCTTTGCATAACTTATAATTTATACCTGATACAAATTACACATTTACTCAACATAGTATAAGTAATTATAGTGGCTTCTTGATACTAAATTTCAAAATATTTCGTACATATTACACACGTTTGGACAGATTTAAAATTATATACTGCTTATTATAATTTGTTTAGACATAAGTGTTAAATTTTAATCCAATGTTCAGATTTTATGTTTATTTTATTGAAGTTTTCAGATTCATTCTTTAATTTAATTGAAGTTATATTTCCAAAAGATTACGATATGAACTCCTCACTTAGAATGCTGTTCTTCTTATTTCGTACAAATAGGCTATATATATATATATATATATATATATATATATATATATATATATATATATATATATATATATATATATATATGTTAGAACATTAACACACAGCACCATCGTAAGCTACGAGGTTTCGAGGTTTATGTTACGGATAACAGATAGTTGATATACTACACATATGTAACGTTAAATACATACATAAATACCTGGCGTAAAAACATTACTGCTTAACACACAAATGAATGCCTCCAGCGGGACTCGAACCGGCGACCGCTGGTACACCAAGTAGGGTCACTACAAACTCAGCCAAACGTGTCGTCAAAATACTATATACATACGTCATACATACTTTAAATATTAAATTTTAAATTAAATAACTATCAATTTTATATTTCTTCTAAACTTTTTAATGAAATATATACTATTAAGTGACAAAGTGAATTTAGCTTTACTTATATGTTTTCTGTACATTTTCCTGAGTCATGGTATTTCGTAAGAGCCGTTTTCACATATATTTTGTATGAAGAGAATCTGTAATTTTTGTGCAATATATTTATATACCAACGTACAGTATAAGTTTAGGTTTTGTAGTAACTACATAGATATTAGTATTCTAAAGCAATCTCTACACTGATCATCTATTGGTAAATATTCCGTATGTTTTTGCATACCAGAAAGAGAATTGGCCAATGAATATAAGATTATCTTGTTAGTAAAATAGAAATCATATCATTTATATTTTACTAGCATTGCCCGCGACTCCGCCCGCGTTCAGATGACCAAAAACCAAATTCTTAGGTTTTACATATTAGTATACTCTTACATTGCAGTTTTTGTATTTTTTCTCAGAAATGAGACATTTTTCCGCGGTAAAAACGGTCCTATATGCTGACCCAGATAACTAGACATCAGCATACCAAATTTCATCAAAATCCCTCTCGCGGTTTTTCTGTGATGCGGTAACAGACAGACAAAAATTCTAAAAACTATAGATTCAGCCCCTGTATCGATAATAATGTTTATTTCAATAAGATTTTCCAATAAATATTTAATGTACAGATTGGGCTCACTTACAATTTATTATATGTATAGATAATACCAGTTACTCGTTCTCACTTCATTTCAATCCGCACCAAGTGCCAAAAATTAAAAACATTTTTAGCCCATATCAAGTGTACTATTTTTGTAGAATCCTCTAAATCTCCTACCTATCAGTCGAAGTTCTGCTAAAATATACGGGACTTTCTTTCAACCACATATCTTGTGTAGTGTTTTGTCTTTAACAGGATAATAATTCCTTCTCATCCTAATTCTCTATCCATAGATTTTTTAATCAGTTAGTAGTTGAATCATTGCAGGAGTCATCAAGAACAAACATACAAACACATTTATTATAATAATGTAAGGGATAACGGATAAAGGTTGAAATCCATGAATGCTTTTTAGTAGATCAAGTTACTTGAAGGATATTGGTATATCCTGGCCCTTTATCTATACATATAATAAAATTCTGAGTTGAATCTGTACAATAAATATTTTTTGGAAAATCTTATTGAAATAGTCATTATTATCGACATAGAGGCCGAATCTATAGGTTTTAGAACTTTTCTTTGTGTGTCTGTCTGTGACCGCATCACGAGAAAAGTACTGGACAGATTTTGTTGAAATTTGGTATGATGATAGCTGGTTATTCGGGTCAACATAATATAGGATACTTTTTACTGCGGGAAAATATCTCATCTCTGAGTAATCTATACTAAACGTTAAAACGTAACTAGGAAAGAACCCGAGCGGAGCGAGGATGAGCCGCTAGTATTATAAATTTTTCTTTAATTACAATACAAAAAGTCAAATGTAATGTATATTTTTATATATAGATTATAGATATAACACTACGGCACACTTACTAGTATCGAAGTGTGATAAAAGAAGGAAGTTTATAAGATACCTGCCTATTATGTATTATGATATAACCTAATCTTAGATTTCAAACAAGAAATACATTTCCTGAAAATTCACAGTGTGTGAATATCGACGTTGCGCCACCGATTTTACTGTACTTTATTTAGCAATTACTTTCGGAAGTATTTAAAAAGATATTTTAACTGCGTTCTTTTCCATTTTTACTTCATTTTATAAAATTTTATCACTTTATATTTAGGACATGGACGACCGACGATCGGAAAACGTATAAAAATTGCCTGTTTTTTTTTTCAGAAAAGATATTTATATAGATATTCTTAAAAAGCAAAGGCTTATTCATATACATATTTGATCCAAATCGTTAGAGGCGCTTCCGAGATACTTAAAATAAATTTATATACATATTATATACAAGAATTGAAAGAGTAAAAATAATATCTTCTTGACATTAATTATAAAAAAGAAATATTTTTATCATCAAAAACATATTTATCTATATTAATCGTGTACAGTGTACTACAGATCCATTACTACCTAATATTTATAAAATTATTCTTGGATTAAATTAGCGTACACTGACATATTAAAAGTTCAACAAATCTAATAATAAAAAGCTCGCACAGAAGCTTATGCAAGCTTTTGGTGAGTATCGATACCAGGGACCTGAGATTTGTAAGAAAACAGCATCTGTACCCTGCCTCGATCCAGATCTTGCCTTTATTCACCGTCCAGATTCTAAGAGCTAAGTGCTCGTAAAGGTATAAGCGCATAACGCATGCAATACTATATAGCAAAGGGGGTATTCCCTCAAAATCTGCTCCTGCTTCCTCATGATGATGAAACTGGAGCACTCTTCTCGACACCTTTTATGGACCAAGCCGTTGTTGTAGCTGAGGCTGTACGCAATTTTGTAGGAATGGGAGACGACTCACCATTTACACTTAAGGTCTGTCAGGTTCAATGTTATGATTGAGAAGGCAGGCTTGCACAATAATCTCATTATCATAATCATAATGAGATAGTTGTGTAAGCTATATAGAGTCCATATACTTTCCATATATCGCATACTACCTGAGAATTATGTTTAGGAAATTTGTGATACTTTATTTAAGAATATCTCCCGGAAAGTGTATAAAATAAAAAATAAAACATCTCAATGAACCAAAAATCTCAAAAACAAAATCAAACTAAAATCTATCAGTGCATTACACATTGGAGTACTATGTGTCATAGACAGACAGACAGACAGACAGACAGACAGACAGGCATCTAAAACGTAATATGACTTATTTTTCGTCGAATTAGGATTGGTTGAAAAATGTAATATTTATAATAAAGAAAAGTATCAGTAATTATTAAGTTGCAGACCAAAGTTGTTAATGACTAAGCCAAGTGACGCTTACCCAAGAAAGTTGTAAATATAAGCCACTATTAACAAACATAGTGCAGCGTATTACTTAACGCTCATGTCATTTATTGCTTACGACAAAACCGACTTATATAATTTATAACATTTAAAAAATATTTAACCGTCTCATTTTCATTAATTTTCTTTTGGGAAATTTAATTAGACTCGTACGGAAAGCATGATACATACAAAATCTATATATTATCACACATATATATTATATATAATATATAATGTTTAACTATTATAGTATATGTATATATATTACATAAATATAATATGTAAATTTTACACTAGTTTATTATTAGGTACCTACTATGCAAATTAATCGTACGTAATACGTAATCTATAAAAGATTAAGTTTATAGATGAATTTTAGGATGCTGTGAACCCTGTAAGATAACAGATGTAAGTAATAACGCGCCGTTGAGTACCGTTATATAAAAAACCAAAAATGGTTAATATAAAGATCCTCACCTGTTAAAAGGTACATGACTCCATATTTCGCAATTAACATAACCTTGTTATATATTTTATATAGTAATACTAACAGAACCCGCGGCTAC